GACGGAGTGTAGTTTTAGAGCCCAACAAATACTTAGGCCCATAATTAAATGGGCAAACTGGTGGGTTTTGTACCCAATAGTATGGGCCCTTATTTTTCCTAGGCCTCAGAATAATAGTATGGGCCCTTGTCTTTGAAGAACATGTTTTTTAACTAATAATTGAAAACAACCACATAATCAAGGGGGCCTCATTTTCTTGATTGATTAATAAGCAACAAAAGTTACAAAATAATGCTTTAGATAATTTTAAGGGTTTGATCTGCTGGTAAGTAGTAAGCATTAAAACAAGGTCGATCTATGGTTTAAATTTTGGGACAACACTCAAGGAATGCATTAAATTGATGTGATAATGTGTTATTAAAAAATCACAATAAAAATTAATCTTGAAATGTGCATAAAACTAATCTAAAAACATAAAATTGTTTATATGAAAAAATAATGCTCTAAAACTATTTTGAAATGATTATTAAGTGATTGATTTTGATCCATTTTCCATGTATTTAATTTTTAGATACTTTTTTTTTATTAAAGCATTTTACCAACTAGAACAACCTTAACCATTTAGATTAAACAAAAAGAGGGGACCCAAATCAAAATCAGTTGTGGATCATGATGTCCCCTAAATGAAACATCAGTTAGGCCAGCCATGACCCATGTACACATCCCATTGGCTCAATTTTGCAAAAGCCAGAAAGCTAAAATGGAACAAAACCCATTTTATGGCAAAGGCAAAGACAGACAAGACAGTCCAACCAAGTCAAAAGTTGATGCTAAGATTTTGTTTTTGAAGAAAAAAAAAAATCAGAGGATCATGAATTTCAACTTTTATTTCATCTGGTCTTCTATCTAACACAAAGGTAGCTCCCCCCCTTTTTATTTTGTTCTTTTATTTTATTCTTTTATTTTATTCTCTATACAAAACACGCTAGAGAGTGAAAGTGGAAAAATAAGTAGAGGAAAAATCAAGTATTAAGGTAATAATAATTTAAAAAAATATATTTTATAATCTGAAATGCACACATCCAACTATTAATAATCATGAGTCAAACATATGGATTATGATAATAAGGGTATGTGAGGCTACTTTTGAAATCAAGAAGTAGCAATACAATGGGGTTCCCAGGACAGAAGAGACCTCCTGGACTCTTTGCAACCCTTTAACAAAGGAACCAAGTAATCACCATTCTTCTCCCTCAATTGCTGATCTTGTGAGATCGCATTTTTGGGACCTTTGAGTGGTGTTGGATGTTGGGGATTTGGGTTAAGAACTGATGCCTTGGACATGGGCTTGGACCTCCAGAAGTATTCATAAGCATTGAGAGATGCCGCCGCCCCACCTACCTTTGATTTTGGTGATGGGATCATTCGAGCCACCGGCGGCCGTGGCGGCAGTGACTGTGCCTGAGTTGGGGTTGGGTCAATCTTCTCCTCCTCTCCAAACTCGACTATTTCATTGAACTTGCTGGGCCATGTTGGGTTTCTATTCACTAAACCAGTGGGGTTGTTCATCATTAGGGCTAACCTATGGACATTTGTGGCTCTGCTTGAGAGTTTCAGTGCCTGCTCCATCACAAATATTTCATCTTCCCCTTCTTCTTCATCGTCTTCTTCAGTGTCCATTTCCTCTCCGAAGTTGTCAAATTCCTCGAAAAGCTCATCCAATTCATTTGCTTCTTCATCCTCGGGATCTGGTTCTGTGAGAGTGGTGTTGGCGAAGGTGAGTACAAGGCGGCCGTCTTGGCGTTGGGCGTGGAAGTTGTTCTTTGAAGGAACAGAGACGGCTTCCAGAACCAATCTACCATTAGTACGACGGCTCGTCATGCGAACAGAGGCTCCATCGTTTCGAGAAAGAGAAGAGATTGGTGGGGGGAAAGATCGCACAAGTGATTTCTTCCCCACGGCGGCGTAGTTGTCCTTCACAACTCTTGGCTCTTCATAATTGAACAGAACTCTGTCTTGCTTCCCCTGCTGCAGTTCTTGCTCCTCCTCCTCTTGCTCCTCCTCCTCCTCCTCCCCCACGGCGGCGTAGTTGTCCTTCACAACTCTTGGCTCTTCATAATTGAACAGAACTCTGTCTTGCTTCCCCTGCTGCAGTTCTTGCTCCTCCTCCTCTTGCTCCTCCTCCTCCTCCTCCTCCTCCTCCTCCTCCACGTCACTGTTCTCCGACGTCGGACATGAAGAGAACCCGTCCGAACCCGTCTCGGATCCAAGACTCTCAGTGCAAATCTCGAGGCTTTTCCCGCTCAGAGAACTAGATGATCTTTTGACGAGAGGGTGAATATAAGGGGGAGGAAGTGACTTGGAGGAAGTGTCTTCCTGCGCTTTCTGCGAGATAATTGCGCTCCATGTATCAAAGGGCGCAAGCTTTTCATTCTCCTTCTTGCTCGTCTCCTCTTGAATTGAGGCCCAGATGTTGCAAGGCTTTTTCCTCTCTTCACACTCGTCTTCTTCCTCAGAGGACGAGTCTGTGATGGCGAGTGAGAATTCCCCAGAAGATGCAATCTTTTTCATGGGAGAGAAGCCATTTTGAGCTAACCATTTCTTGGAAGACATGTCAGCTGACAGAGTCCTCCTAAGAGAAGCAGCTTTTGTGGTAGGCTTCTCACCGTCGGACCCAAGAATGGAGACTATCCCCTGTTTCTTGGTAACTATAGTCTCTTCCTCCATCTTCAGAACAGAGGACAAGCCTAGGCTCTTGCTTAGAGTAGCAGACATATCTTTGGACTCAAAGCAGGGTATTGAAACCTTAAACTGCAGAAATTGAGAGAAACCAATGAGAAAAAGACCAAAAAATTTACAAAGAAACTGATTATTAGGATCAATGAATGACATGTTCAATTACCTGAAAGATATAAAATTAACGCAACAGCACCCAACACAGAGCAGTGACCTACTGAGAGACCACTGAAGGTGCTCAGTTGCAGCGGGAAGTTTGTTGTTGTTGCTGATGATGGAGGAAGGAGAAGTGGGAGTGGGTTGATGGGAATGGAAAGAGAAGGAGGGGGGTATTTGTAGGACGGAAAAGCCAATGGAACCGTGTCCATTGGGACCCGCCCACGCAACCATGAAAAGACTCCTCCATTGGTTTCCAGTTTTCCCTTATCAGAAAAGTTTGTGACTAAAGAAAATTAGAGCCTTGATATCATGAGGCTGCCCTCATTCAGCTCCCATGATCTCACTCCCACCCCTACATCACCCACCCCCTTCTCTCCAAAAAGGAAATGGTCTTCTAGGAATGGAAACAGCTGGGGACTTTGAATGGTACAAGTTAGAAGTAGCATATTCAATCAATGCTGGTTGCATCTCACCATACCCTTCACTACCCTCTTGTAGGTAAATAGTTCATATGCCATGCTTAAGAACTTAGTGACATGTAAACTATGTGAGTTCAGTTTAGAACATGTTGTTATAGAATTAAACTTGGCCTAATGGTTTTATGCCAATGACCCTAGCCTAAAATATAATAAAGGGAAAAAAATTGAAACCTTAAGATGTTGGTTGAGTAATAAAGAGTGATATGAGTCATATTAGAAATGTTAGTTCTAAACTTGTGAGCCCTCCATCACTATTTCAGTGAAAAATATAATAATTTTATTGGAGTATACTCATCATCCTTGATTATAATTTACTTGTTGAGTGTGGACAGATATACAAAGAAGTCAATCATCTTAATTCATTCTACTATACTAATGATCTGGTAGTGTATTAAAAAAAAAAAGGGATTAATGGTTAATTAATTCATTCTATTAACATGTAAGGAAAAATGCATTGGAGGTCATTGTAATGGAATTGATCCCCATTGGTCACGTGGCAGAAGTTGGAAGGTAAATAGTGACAATTAGAGAAGAAAACAAAGAAGAGAGCTGGACACCATTAATGGAAGTTCACGAAAGCTCACCATATACATAGAGCTCTTGATCTTTTTTTCAAAAAAAAAAAAAAAATCTTAATTGACCTTATTATTATGTAATAATGAAATAATGAAGTTATTAATCTTTTAGCTGAGATTAAAATTTAAGGGACGTGTTTGAAAGGGAGACAATAAGTGAAAGGAGCTCTCACAATCTCATGAGCTCACAAAAGCAATCTCATATGTATATAGATATATAAAGCACGGAAATATGATGAAGCAATATTTACCAAATAAGTAAGGTAGAAAGTATTGATTGGGAATGAAAAATTTCTTAAGAAGGAAGCAAAGGGTTCATCACTTTCAACACCAAAAATGATTGGGCGGCCAAAAACCTCACTCCTTAGGCTCACACACAATCCATCCATCATTATCAATATTGTTATATAAAATTTTAGTTAAAAAAATTAAAAATGCTTAATTGTTAAAAAAAGAGAAAAAGTAGATGAAGAAAGAAAAATAAATAGGCTTTGAGCGTGTAAAACACTTTGTTAAGGTATTATTTATATTTAGGATTCAAGAAAAATCATAATGTTCTAATACTTAAAATGTTATAAACAATAATAAAAGAAGTAAAATACTCTTAATGAATTAATATGTAAAAAAAAATTATTAAAAATATTTAAATAATTTTATGAGAGTCTTTACATTTAAAGTATTAGGATGTTTAAAGTTTTACCTTTTTTCTCAATAAAACCTCTCAAACTCTTTCTTTTAAAGGTTGAGTAAAAGGTGTGTAAAATTTGTCCAATGTGAAGAGAGTTGCAGTTGTTTTGTACTCACAAGAACTTCTTTAATTCTTTTAACCACTATTTAAAGATTTATAAGCTCAGACTCGCAATTAAAAGCATAAAATTCAAGTTGTAACTCTTTTTGTCAGTAAGAGACACATTTATATTATTTTAATAATTTT